CACACACACACACACACACACACACACACACACACACACACACACACACGTAAGGCAGTGCCCCAACACATCCTGACAGATGAGAAGCACAGAGCAGGTGGAGGAGGAGTGAAGGCGAGCGGAGATGTGATCAGCGTCTCTATTCATCATGATACTGCTCTTCAACAGCAACAAGTCTCACACAGCTGAAGGAGGTAAGTACAAACTGAACTCTATGATTTCATATCAAACACTTCTTATTCTAATTGCCTGTTCAAATAACATCAATACTATCTACATTACAAAGCAGAATGACTTTAGAAAATGTTCACTTGCTGTGAATCTGAATAATAAAAGTGCCTAAATATTTAACTTCATCTTCAAAAAATAGGTAATCAAAATTGTTTTGTCTTGATGTGGGATCTAACATGATAGGTTGAAATGTGCTTAATTGTTAAGATCTGCTTGGCTGAACAAAATGAATGCATTATTTGTGATTAAGTGCAAACAGAGGCAGACATATTGGAGGCAATAGATCAACAGTGGGCAGGTTTCATTGTTCAGCAGACAACAGCCGCTTCCTGGACACACTGTTGACGCTCAGAGACTATAGAGACTGTAAACTCAAAAAGGCCCTGGGAGAGGGTGGGTGAACATATCACATTTAAAGTGCGCAGAGCAGGGCTTACAGGCACAGCCTATAGAACAGACTAAAACCTACATTATTCTACAAGTTATTCTAATATTGAAAATAATATCTATGGCATCATAGAGCTTAATGTTCAGAAAGTACATGGTATAAAACATGTGATTACCAACCTTGCTTTACAGAATTATGTATAGTTTCATTTATGTGGAGAGAGAACAGGGTCACACTCACTTCTTCATGCATGTATTTAGACTGTTGCTAACTCCACAGTATTATGCATTAAGTGCACAAAAGTTCACAATAATGTGTTCATGAGTCAAATTAGTGTATGTACTGTAAATGAACATAGCTGGCAGGTGTTAAATGCTGTATACGTTAACAGGAACACTTTAGCAGATGTGTT